ATTCGTTTCTTCATTTCGTGGGGTCTCTGTTTCTTAGTGATCTCTCTCAATGGGTAAATAGTTTCTGTATCACTCAAATGATGAAAAAGGCATGTTTCGATTCTCGCGTTTTGGAAAGTTTAGTTTTTTTGAATTGGTATTGGTCTGGCACTGCTTTTGCAACAATGGAAGCTGCTTGTTCTGTCAATTTTGATGTTTCTCTTTTTGCATCTGTGAGAAATCATTTCAAATTTTTGGATTTGTCCAATTTGGATTCCACTTGGTTCATCATGATGTATAAGGTCCCACGATGTATCAATCCAAGTTTCATCTTTGAAGCTTTCTAGCTAGTTGACTCAATCCCAGAAATGATTCTTGACTTGTTTGCTCGAAATTAAGCACTTTAGATTCTAATGTTACACATTAGCATACGTTACTGATCTCTTATATGCATAAAAGCTTTATAATTTATCAAATTTGGATTTGGTTTTGACATGTTAGGGATTGTCAGATTTTGGTTTATCTATACACTATTCATCTCTAGTGATAGCTGTAATTAAGGTTGCTCTCTGTTCGTGTAAACATTTATGAACTTGATTACTTAGGTGGCGAAGCGATTAGAGAAGTTCAAGACTACGATTTTCACTCAAATGAGCATGTTGGCTGTTAAACACCGAGCGATCAACCTAGGCCAAGGCTTTCCTAATTTCGATGGTCCTGATTTTGTCAAAGAAGCTGCGATTCAAGCCATTAAAGACGGTAAAAACCAGTATGCTCGTGGACACGGCGTTCCTGAAACCAATGCTGCAATCGCTGCGCGGTTTCGTGAAGATACTGGTCTCGTTGTTGATCCGGAGAAAGAAGTTACTGTTACGTCTGGCTGCACAGAAGCCATAGCTGCAACTATGTTGGGTTTAATAAACCCTGGTGATGAAGTTATTCTCTTTGCCCCCTTTTATGATTCCTATGAAGCGACGCTCTCTATGGCTGGTGCTAAAGTAAAAGGAATCACTTTACGCCCACCGGACTTCTCGATCCCTTTGGAAGAACTCAAAGCTGCGGTAACTAGCAAGACCCGTGCCATCCTCATGAACACTCCACACAACCCAACGGGGAAAATGTTCACAAGAGAGGAGCTCGAAACAATTGCATCTCTCTGTATTGAAAACGATGTGCTTGTGTTCTCAGATGAGGTATACGATAAGCTTGCGTTTGAAATGGATCACGTTTCCATAGCTTCTCTTCCCGGTATGTACGAAAGAACAGTGACCATGAATTCTTTGGGAAAGACTTTCTCTTTAACCGGATGGAAGATCGGTTGGGCGATTGCACCGCCTCATCTGACTTGGGGAGTTCGACAAGCACATTCTTACCTCACATTCGCCACATCAACACCGATGCAATATGCAGCCATTGCAGCACTCAAAGCACCAGAGTCTTACTTCAAGGAGCTGAAAAGAGATTACAATGCGAAAAAGGAGATTCTCGTTAAGGGTTTGAAAGAAGTCGGGTTTAATGTGTTCCCATCAAGCGGTACTTACTTTGTGGTTGTGGATCACACACCATTTGGATTGGAGAACGATATCGACTTCTGCGAGTATCTCATCAAAGAAGTTGGAGTAGTTGCAATCCCCACGAGTGTCTTCTATCTGAATCCAGAAGAAGGGAAGAATCTGGTTAGGTTTACTTTCTGTAAAGACGAAGAGACATTGCGCGGCGCAGTTGAGAGGATGAAGCAGAAGCTAAAGAAGAAAGTCTGAAGTTTGAATCAGAGGAGCCTCTTAAAAGCCTTAATTTTTATGTTGTTGTATTGTTCTTCTTCAGTTCCATTTGAAGAGAGACTTTGATTCACCAAAGCAAACTTAATAAAGTCATGTTCACATTATTAAATGCGTAAAGATAGGCATTGTTTTCTTTTATGTATTTGTTTGATTAGCCTTTTTAAGTCCTTAAATGAGTTAATAATTAAATAGCTAAGGTTGAATATTCTGGGAAAGACTGAAATTGAAGTGATTATTATAGTTTTTCGGTCGCATTATCTTTCTAAGCCGAAAGTTTAAAAAGTAACTGAATGCATCAGAACTTAGACTTTAGATCTAGTGAAAGCGATGTTAGCTTAAGTAATCAAAATACTAAAAATACCATTTTTAATCAAATAGCTTAAGATTTGTCGTTTACTTATTTTATGATTCCAGAGTTTAGACTATTATGTAAACTATCTCAAGCTCCAAATACCGAGATTACTTATGCTTTGAAAGATAATCTAGTAAACATACACATGCATTATTTTTTTTTCTAGTAGATAAATTTTATTTATTATCAATTTTCATTGTATTATTATGATCCCATGTGATTGTTTATTGT